AAAAAAGAAAAAAAATAGGATGATGAAGGCACTAATCTGGTAAGATTATCAAACCCAAATACCTTATCAGTTTTACTGTCAATATTCTAAGGAAAATTTTTGTTTTCATTCTTTTCTACTCTTATTTGTAAAGTTAGCATTATTTATTCTAGAAAACTATAAAACATAGATTTCCCCTTTCCTTACAATAATATCTTGTTCTCAGGTACTACAGTATACTGCCAGTATTCTGGGGTTGTAACATAGTGGCCAACGCTTTAGGGTGAAATGATGTAGGCTGAAAAAAAAAAAGAGAAAGAAAAAGAAAGAAAAACAATAGAAAAGATTAATAAAACTAAAAACTGGTTCTTTGAAAGGATACATAAAATTGACAAGCCTCTGGCAAGACTCATCAAGTGGAAAAGAGAACACAAATAAATAAAATCTGAAATCAAAGAGGAGAGATTACAGCTGACACCAGAGAAATACCAAGGATCATTAAAGAATACTATGAATAATTATATGCCAACAAATTCGACAATCTAAAAGAAATGGATAAATTTCTCAAAACAAATAACCTTCCAAGCTTAAGCCACGAAGGAACAGAATCTGAACAGACCAATTACTAGCAATGAAATTGAAGCAGCAATAATAATAAAAAAAATCTCCCAATAAACAAAAGCCCAGGACCAGATAGCTTCACAGCTGAATTCTATCAAATATTTAAAGGAGAATTTGTGCCTATCCTTCTCAAGCTATTCCAAAAAATTGAAGAGGAAGGTACACTTCCAAACTCATTCTATAAAGCCAGCATTACCTTGATTCCAAAACTAGACAAAGACACTACAAAGAAAGAGAATTACAGGCCAATATCCCCAGTGAACACAGATACCAAAATTCTCAACAAAATACTAGGAAACCAAATTCAACAGTACATTAAAAGGATTATACACCATTATCAAGTGGGATTTATACCAGGGATACAAAGGTAGTTCAACTTCCACAAAGCAATGTGATTCATCACATCAACAAAACCAAGGATAAAAATCACATGATTATCTCAACAGATGCAGAAAAAGCATGACAAAATTCAATATCCATTTATGACACAAACTCTCAACAAAGTGGCTATAGAAGGAGCATACCTCCAATTGATAAAGGCTATATATGACAAGTCCGCATCTAACATCATAGTCAATGCTGAAAAGATAGAGAAAGCTTTTTCTCTAAGATCAGAAAAAGACAAAGATGCCCAATTTCACAACTATTATTCAACATAGTTCTAGAAGTCCTAGGCAGAGCAATCAGACAAGAAAAAGAAATAAAAGGTATTCAAATAGGAAAGGAAGAAGTAAAATTGTCACTATTTGCTGATGACATAATACTATATATAGAAAACCCTAAAGAATCCACCCAAAATTAATAGAATTAATAAAATAATTCAGTAAAGTAGCAGAATATAAAGTTAATATATGGAAATCTGTCACATTCCTATATACTAATAATAAACAATCAGGAGAAATGAAGAAAACAATCTCATTTACAATTGCATCAAGAAGAACAAAATATCCAGGAATATACTTAACCAAGGAGGTGAAATACCTGTACTCTGAAAACTATAAGACATTGAAGAAAGAAATTGAAGAGGACACAAATAAATGAAAGGATATACTGTGCTCATGGATTGGAACAATTAATATTGTTAAAATGTCCTAACTACCGAAAGCAATTTACGGATTCAATGCAATTCCTATCAAAATACCAATGGCATTCTTCTCAGAACTAGAACAAATAATCCTAAAATTGATATGGAACCACAAAAGACCTTGAATAGTCACAGCAACCTTGAGAAACAAGAACAAAGTTGGAGGTATCATGCTCTCTGATCTCAAACTATACTACAAAGTTATAAAACAGTATGGTACTGGCACAAAAACAGACACATAGATAAATGGAACAGAACAGAGAGCTCAGCAACAAACCCTGGCTTATATGGTCAACTAATCTATGACAAAAGGAGGTAAAAATATACACTGGAATCACAACAGTCTCTTAAACAAGTGGCGCTTGGAAAACTAGAAAGATACATGCAAAAAAATCCCCAAACTGGACCACTCTCGTACACCACATACAAAAAACCCCATCTCAAAATGGGTTAGACTTCAATGTAAGGCCTAAATCCATAAAACCTAGAAGAAAACATAGGAAGTAGACTATTTCACATTAGACTGAGTAACATCTTTTTGGATACATCTCCTCAAGCAAGGAAAAGAAAGGCAAAAATAAACAAATGGGACTACATCAAACTAAAGTTTCTGTACAGCAAAGGAAACCTTCAACAAAACAAATAGGCAACCAACTAAATGGGAGAAGATATCTGCAAACACCTCCAATACAGGGTCAATATCCAAAATATATAAGAAAATCATATAACTCAATAACAAAAGAACCTAAACAATCCAATAAAAAATGAGCAGAGGACACGAAAAGACATTTCTCCAAAGAAGACATACAGATGGCCAGCAGACATAAAAAGATGCTCAATATTAACTATTGTCAGGAATATGCAAATCAAAACAATAATAAATGGCTATTATAAAAAAGTCAACAAATTGCCCGGCCGGGCGTGGCTCAGTGGTTGAGTGTCGACCTGGGATTCAGGCGATCAGGGTTCGAGTCCCGGTCAGGGCACATGCCCGGGTTGCAGGCTCGATCAATGACTCTCTCATCATTGATGTTTCTCTCTCTCTCCCTCTCCTTTGCCCTCTCTGAAATCAATAAAGATATATTAAAAAAAAA